AGAAAGCAAGATTTTCAGAGAAAGAAGAGATAAAATTGAAAAGATCAAAGACATCAAACAAAACAACTGAAATACTAACTTTGAATCGTAACCATCAGTATATATTCTTGATTTTCTCTCTTTTAAAAAAAAATATATATATATTCTAGTTCTGTCCACTATAAAGGTCAAGTATCAATGAGAAATAATAACACTATGGCAATGAATACTCCTAGTGCCCTGGTTATGGTTTCTAAATACCATTCTGCACTAAGAGAAACCAAGGCTCCTTGGAGGAATGGCTGATTCCAGAACTGGAGCAGGAAAAGTTTACAAGACGGTATGGAAAATCTCATTCTCAAAAGCAAGGAAACCATAAAAGACTAAAGAGGTCGTATTAAAAGAACATACGAACCAACATGAAAAGGCTTCCACTGGACAAAGATGACACAATTTGAGCATCAAAGAAAATAATGACCGAAACAGAAACACCAAATATATAAAAACATGTTAAGTTCCTAATGAAGCAAAAAAACCCCTACACCTTATCCCCTACCCCAAGAAATAAATAATGTCTGGATAACCATTGGAGGTAACTAGGGCATCAACAACTTATCCTGAAAGTGGCAATTAAAGGGAAAGAATTAACATTTATCCTGTCTTTTTTGTTCAAATTATATAACAGGCAATTAAACAGCCCTAGTTGATAGGGAAAGTTCTGCTTTACAGAACAAGCATAGAATGTGTGAGAGAATTAGAAACTTGCCATTTTGCAACTTCTAGTTAATTAATGATTCAGCTAATAATCATGAAAATATTACATGAAAGGTTGATGGAGGTCTTTAAAAAGAAGGAGCAAGCCACTGCCATCTGAACTCACTGATAAGTCTTAGAATCGTTATGTGATACAACCAGATAGTATGTGCCTCCTAGTATGAAGCAATATGACACACATAGTACAGCCTATGAAGTATTCTTGTTCACAAAAGATAGACTTAAAGCTAATCATGCTTTTCCATTTAATTTCTAGTTCACAAGAAACATAGAGGATAAAAGAACAACTTAGACAACACCATGAGGAAGCAGACAGAGAAATTCAGAATGCAGGAAGTTCTTTACAACAACTAAACATTCAAAGGCATAGTGACAGAAGGGCGGAGGAAATAAATGCAGAATACCAATCAACTATAATGTTTAGATTCTGATTTGAACAAATCAACTGTAAAAAGATATTTTTGAGCTAATTGGAAAAATTTCAGTATCAGCTGGATGTTGGATGATACCAAGGAATTAACATGTAATTTTGTTAGATGTGATGATAATGGTATTGTGGCTATACGAAAAAACACCCATCTTCTTAAGAGATGCAAACCTAAGTACATAAGGGTGAAATAATCTGACGACTGGCGTTTTCTTTAAAATACTTAACACACACACACACACACATACACACACACACGGAGGTAAGTGGGGACAGATGAAGCAAGTACAACAAAGTTTTGATAATTGTTGTTGTTATTGTTGTTAGGTGCCATTGAGTTGGTTCCGACTCATAGCGACCCTATGCACCACAGAACGAAACACTGCCTGGTCCTGCGCCATGCTCACAATCGTTATGCTTGAGCCCATTGTTGCAGCCACTGTGTCAATCCATCTCATTGAGGGTCTTCCCCATTTTCGCTGACCCTGTACTTTACCAAGAATGACATCCTTCTCTAGGGACTGATCCCTCCTGACAACATGTGCAAGGTATGTAAGACATAGTCTCGCCATCCTTGCTTCTAAGGAGCATTCTGGTTGTACTTCTTCTAAGATAGATTTGTTCGTTCTTTTGGCAGTTCATGCTATATTCAATATTCTTCACTGATACCACAACTCAAAGGCATCAATTCTTCTTCGGTCTTCCTTATTCACTGTCCAGCTTTCGCATGCATATAATGCAATTGAAAATATCATGGCTTGGGTCATGCGTGCCTTAGTCTTCAAGGTGATGTCTTTGCTTTTCAGCACTTTAAAGAGGTCTTTTGCAGCAGATTTGCCCAGTGCAATGTGTCTTTTGACTTCCTGACTGCTGCTTCCATGGGTGTTGATTGTGGATCCAAGTAAAATGAAATCCTTGACAACTTCAATCTTTTCTCCATCTATCATGTTGCTTACTGGTCCAGTCGTGAGGATTTTTGTTTTCTTGATGTTGAGGTGTAATCCATACAGAAGGCTGTGGTCTCTGATCTTCACCAGTAAGTGCTTCAAGTCCTCTTCACTTCCAGCAAGCAAGGCTGTGTCATCTGCATATCACAGGTTGTTAACGAGTCTTTCTCCAATCCTGATACCCCTTTCTTCTTCATATAGTCCAGCTTCTTGGATTATTTGCTCAGCATACAGATTGAATAGGTATGGTGAAAGGATGTAACACTGATGCACACATTTCCTGACTTTAAACCATGCAATATCCCCTTGTTCTATCCGAACAACTGCCTCTTGATCCGTGTACAGGTTTCCTCATGGGCACAATTAAGTGTTCTGGAATTCCCATTCTTTGCAATGTTATCCATAATTTGTTATGATCCACACAATCAAATGCCTTTGCGTAGTCTATAAAACACAGGTAAACATCTTTCTGGTATTCTCTGCTTTCAGCCAGGCTCCATCTGACATCAGCAATGATATCCCTGGTTCCACGTCCTCTTCTGAATCCAGTCTGAATTTCTGGCAGTTCCCTGTCGACATACCGCTGCAACCGCCTTTGAATGATCTTCACAAAATTTTACTTGTGTGATATTAATGATATTGTTTGATAATTTCCATATTCAGCTGGATCACCTTTCTTGGGAATAGGCATAAATATGGATCTCTTCCAATCGATTGGCCAGGTAGCTGTCTTCCAAATTTCTTGGCAAAGACAAGTGAGCACTTCCAGTGCTGCATCCATTTGTTGAAACATCTCAATTGATATTCTGTTAATTCCTGGAGCCTTGTTTTTCGCCAATACCTTCAGTGCAGCTTGGACTTCTTCCTTCAGTTCCTGATCATATGGTACCTCCTGAAATGTCTGAACATTGACCAATTCTTTTTTGTGCAGTAACTCTGGGTATTCCTTTCATCTTCTTTTGATGCTTCCTCAGTTGTTTAATATTTTCCCCATAGAATCCTTCACTATTGCAACTCGAAGCTTGAATTTTTTCTTCAGTTTTTTCAGCCTGAGGAATGCCAAGCGTGTTCTTCCCTTTTGGTTTTCTATCTCTAGCTCTTTACACGTCATTATAATACTTTACTTTGTCTTCTTGAGCCACCCTTTGAAATCTTCTGTTCAATTCTTTTATTTCATCGTTCTTCCTTCTGCTGTAGCTACTTGACATTCAAGAGCAAGTTTCAGAGTCTCTTCTGACATCTATTTTGGTCTTTTCTTTCTTTCCTGTCTTTTGATGACCTCTTGCTTTCTTCATGTATAATGTCCTTGATGTCATTCCACAACTCATCTGGTGTTCGGTCATTAGTATTCAACGCATCAAATCTATTCTTGAAAAGGTCTCTAAATTCCGGTGGGATATACTCAAGGTTGTACTTTGGCTCTCGTGGACTTGTTCTAATTTTCTTGTTTCAACTTGAAGTTGCATATCAGCAATTGATGGTCTGTTCTGCAGTCAGTCCCTGGCCTGGTTCTGACTGATGATATTGAGCTTTTCCATTGTCTCTTTCCACAGATGCAGTCGATTTGACTCCCATGTATTCCTTTTGGTGAGGTCCATGTGTATAGTCACCGTTTATGTTGGTGAAAAAGGTATTTGCAATGAAGAAGTCATTGGTCTTGCAAAATTCGATCATGTAATCTCTGGCATCATTTTATCACCAAGGCCATATTCGCCAACTACTGATCCTTCTTTCCATCTTTTGCATTCCAATCCCCAGTAATGATCAATGCATCCTGATTGCATGTTCGATTAATTTCAGACTGAAGAAGTTGGTAAAAATCTTCAATTTCTTAATCTTTGGTCTTAGTGGTTGGTGCATAAATGTGAATAATAGTTGTATTAACTGGTCTTCCTTGTAGGCGTACAGATATTATCCTATCACTGATAGCAACATACTTCAGGATAGATCCTGAAATGTTCTTTTTGACGATGAATGCAACACCATTCCTCTTCAAGTTGTCATTCCCGGCACAGCAGACCATATGGTTGTCTGATTCAAAATAACTCCTACCAGTCCATTTCAGCTCACTAATGCCTAGGATATCGATCTTTATGCATTCCATTTCATTTTTAACGATTTCCAATTTTCCTAGATTCATACCTCGTACATTCCCTGTTCCGATTATTAATGGATGTTTGTAGCTGTTTCTTGTCATTTTGAGTTGTGCCACATCAGCGAATGAAGGTCCTGAGAGCTTGACTCCATCCACATCATTAAGGTCGACTCTACTTTGAGGAGGCAGCTCTTCCCCAGTTGTCTTTTGAGTGCCTTCCAACCTGGGGGGCTCATCTTCTGGCACTATATCAGACAATGTTCCACTGCTATTCATAAGGTTTTCACTGGCTATTTCTTTTCAGAAGTAGACTGCTGGGTCTTTCTTCCTAGTCTGTCCTAGCCTGGAAGCTCACCTGAAACCTGTCTACCATGGGTGACTTTGCTGGTATTTGAACACCGGTGGCATAGCTTCCAGCATCACAGCAACACGCAAGCCTCCACAGTACGACAAACTGATAGACATGTGGGGGTGATAATTGTTAGGTTTAGGTAATAGGCATATGGGGTTTATGACAGTGTTCTCAATATTTTTTGAATTTTTTAAGGTAAATTTCAAAGATTAAAGAAAAGTAGCTATTTTAAGACACAATATCTGAACAGAAGTTGATAAACTATATTTGCATTACATTGTTATTTAAAAACAAATGTTAAACTATTTTAAGTAGACCTCCCAAATCAGATATTCTTACAAACCCACGTTAGTTTTTTGGGTCTTTTGAGTATACCACTGCATATTTATTGCCAATGAATTTTTACATCGTTAAAAGATACATTACCTGTTGTCAATAATCATTACACTGGAGTATGGAATCCCCAAAACATCACAGCTCTGCAAAAGTTCTTTCTTACGAATCTCTCCTTGATTGTAGTAATTTCCTGAGGATAAAAAATATATATCGGTAGGTTTCTTAAACAGGGAAGGCCTATCTATTATCACTCATTCTTATTTGATCTTGTTTCATAAAGGATTTAAGCTAAATGTGTAGCTATGATAAAAAGGTGAAGAAAATATAACACTAAGGTTACTTATCAGATACTGTTGTGAGACTACAGCAGCACAATCTTTAGAACCGCCATTTATAATTCTTCCCCATATGTATATTTATATCTATCTATATATATGTATCTGCATTTTAGCTACATGCTAGAGGCAGCATGGTATGAGGCCAAGAGTACTGGCTTTGGAGTTGAACAGATGTAGAATACTGACCCTTGTACAGCAATTGTAAAGTTTTGAAAAGCAAAGATACCACCTTGAAGACTAAGGTGCGCCTGACCCAAGCCATGGTGTTTTCAATCACCTCCTATGCATGTGAAAGCTGGACGATGAACAAAGAAGACCAAAGAAGAACTGATGCCTTTGAATTGGGGTGTTGGAGAAGAATACCGAATATACCATGGATGGCCAAAAGAACAAACAAATCTGTCTTAGAAGAAGTACAGCCAGAATGCTCCTTAGAAGCAAGGATGGCAAGACTACATTGCACGTACTTTGGCCATGTTGTCAGGAGGGATCAGTCCCTGGAGAAGGACATTGTGCTTGGTAAAGTAGAGGGTCAGCGAAAAAGAGGAAGACCCTCAATGAGACAGACTGACGAAGTGGCTGCAACAATAGGCTTAAGCATAACAACGATTGTGAGGATGGCGCAGCACCAGGCAGTGTTTCGTTCCATTGTATGTAGGGTCGCTAGGACTCGGAACCGACTTGATGGCATCTAACAGTAACAACACATAGCCACTCAAAACAAGTGGGGTAACTGGATACACTTAGTTTGGGCCCCTTTAAATTGACAGTCTCAAATACCTGTTTAACATGTATTTAAAGAAGAGGCTGCTACTCTTGGGTATTCTAGGAAAATTTGAAGGTCTTATTCAGGAAAACGTTCTCCTTTAAAGAGTTTAGCAGTTACCAAAGGCTGCCCCTGACGGATCTCAATCACACCAGCATCCCAAATGGTTTATCTACTCTTTACTTTCCCAACACATAGACTATACTTCTTAGGAATAGTTCTGGCAAATATAACGTCTTTGTATCCTTACAAATAATATGTAGTGAAGTCTGGTAACACTTAGATTGCACTTATGAGCAACTGTCTAGCTAATGCACTCCTTAATTAAACTCTCCAGCAAATAACTGCATGTGTAATTTGTGCAAGTTACTTATTTATCCTGAGCCACAATTTCTTCACCTATAAAGTGAGGATAACAGCCATCTCATAAGGCTTGCCTGAGGAGTATATGAGATAATACATGTAGCCCCCGACTTATGATGGGGTTCCGTCCTGACAACTCTTTCGTAAGTCGGTTCTGACTTAAGTTGAATACCTCATTTTTTTTTTAGTTTTCATTATTATTGCCTTTTACAATCAGTATCTTTCCAAATCGTAACACTGAACATCTGCGAGTGAACATCTGACAATGATAACATCAGCAAATTACCCACCACATCACTGTATTTAGTACATATTACTAACGATAAGACGTAAAAACAAACAAAAACAAACACATGGTTGTAAGTGCATTTCATTATAACTCAAATTCGTCGTGAGTTGGGGACTACCTGTAATACCAAAGCACCTAGTCCAATGCCTTACACACAATATACTGCTAGTTTTCTCTTTTCCTGAAATCTCTGTCTTTACCTCCCCATCCTCTTCTTCCTTTCTGCCTGAATTATGACTCATCTTCATATTCTAGATCAAACGTCACTTCCTCTGGGAAGCCTTCTATTTTCCCTGGCAAGTAGTCATTTCCAGTATTCTGCTTATAAATGTAAGCTTTTCTCCATGATCGGATTATTAATTTCTAAATGTTATTAACCTTAAAAGTGACAATCTCATATCTGATAAGAATGTATCAACCAAAATAGAGATAAAACTTTACTTAACAACAAAAACACAAATAACCCAATCATAAAATGGGTAAAGGACTTGAATAGACATTTCACCAAAGAGGACATTCAAATGACCATCAAACACATGAAAAGATGTTCAATGTCATTAGCCATCAAAACCAACCAAACCAAAGCCACTGCCTTCGAGGTGATTTCGACTCATAGCAACCCTACAGGACAGAGTAGAATTGTCCCATAGGGTTTCCAAGGAGTGGCTGGTGGATTTGAACTGCTGACCTTTTGGTTAGCAGCCAAGCTCTTAAACACTGTGCTACCAGGGCTCCCATTAGCCATTTGCATCTCTCTCATTAGCCATCAGAGAGATGGAAATCAAAACTACAATAAGATACTATTTCACTCCAACTAGGATGGATAGCAATGGGTATGGGTAGGATGACCAAAGATTAAAAAAAAAAACAGAAAATAACAAATGTTGGTGAGGATGTGGGGAAACTGGAGCTCTTATCTTATCCATTGCTGGTGGGAATGCAAAATGGTACATTTGTTGTGGAAAACAGCGTGGCAGTTTCCCAAAAAACTGAAAATAGAACTACCATATGACCCAGCAATTCCACTTTTAGGTATATACATAAAAGACTTGAAAGCAGAGACTCAAACAGAGACTTGTACACCAGTGTTCCTTGCAGCACGATTCACAATAGCCAAAAGGTAGAAACAACCTAAATGACCATCAACAGATGAATGAATTAAAAAAATGTGCATACATACAATGGAATACTACTGAGCCAGCAGCAGAAAAGAAGTCTTGATACATGCTACAATATGGATAGAGCTTGAAGACATTATGCTGAGTGAAATAAGTCAATCACAAAAGGACAAATATTGCACCATCTCACTTATATAAAAAAGACAAGAAAAGGCAAATGTATAGAGACCAGAGTTTATTAGTGGTTACCAGGGGTGGTGGGTGGGGAGAGAGAAAAGGGGCTAACAGTGATGGAAAAATTGCATTGATTAAGGGTAAGGTTACACAGCTGATTACTGTTATTGCTGTCAATAAGTTGTATACCTGGAAAAGTTGTGTGATACATATACTTACAACAATGACCAAAAAAAAAAAAAAAAAAGAAAAGAAAAGAGTTGCTGCTGACGAAGAAAGGCAAAAAAATTGATGTCTATTCGCCTGAAGCAACGGAAGAAGAAAAAGAGTCAGGAACAGGAGTATATAGAATGAATGGGTGGCTATTTGTCTTCATGAACAACTAACTGCCCTCTTTGCTATGAGACCAGAAGAGCTGGATGGTGGCCAGCTACCATTAGTGAAATTTTTGATCAAAGATTCTACAGAAGAATGCTGATCAAAAGGGGGGAAAATATGGACTAGAATTTCAAATTCTTATGGACTCTAGACTTTCTGAATTCATGGGGGCTGGATAAACCCCTGCAACTACTACCCTGAAATAATCTTTAAAACTTAAACTAAAAATATCCCCTGGAGTTGTCTTTAAACCAAATAACATTGTTCTTGTCAGGTGTCGTCAAGTTGGTTCTGGCTCATAGTGACCCTGTGTTTAACAGAACGAAACACTGTCCAGTGCTGTGCCATCCTCACAATCATTGCTATGTTTAAGCCTATTGTTGCACCCACTATGTCAATCCATCTGGTTGAGGGTCTTCCTCTTTTCTGATTACCTTCTACTGTACCAAACATGATGTCCTTCAGGGACCGGTCCCTCCTGATAACGTATCTAAAGTATATAAGACAAAATCTTGCCATCCTCCCTTCTAAGGAGCATTCTGTCTGTACTTCTTCCAAGACAGATTTGTTCATTCTTCTGGCAGTCCATGGTATAGTCAATATTCTTTGCCAATAACATAATTCAAATGTATCAATTCTTCAATCTTCCTTATTCATTGTCTAGCTCTTGCATGCATATGAGGCAACTGAAAATACCATGGCTTGGGTCAGGTGCATCATAGTCCTCAAAATGACATCTCTGCATTTTAACACTTTATAAAGAGGTCTTTTGCAGCAGATTTGTCCAATGTAGTACATTGTTTGATTTCTTGACTGCTGCTTCCATGGTGTTGATTGTGGATCCAAGTAAAATGAAATCCTTGACAATCTCAATATTTTCTCCGTTTATCGTGATGTTGCTTATTGGTCCAGTTGTGAGGATTTTTGTTTTCTGTATGTTGAAGTGTAATCTATACTGAAGTCTATAGTCTTTGATCTTTGTCCGTAAGTGCTTCAAGCCCTCTTCGCTGTCAGCAAACAAGGTTTTGTGATCTGCGTATCACAGGCTGTTAAGGAGTCTTCCATTAATCCTGATGCCATGTTCTTCTTCATACAGTCCAGCTTCTTAGATTATTTGCTCAGCATACAGACTGAATAAGTGCGGTGAAAGGATACACCCGACGCACACTTTTCCTGGTTTTAAACCATGCAGTATCCCCTAGTACTGTTTGAACGACTGCCTCTTGCTCTATGTACAGGTTTCGCATGAGCACAATTAAGTGCTCTGTAATTCCCATTCTTTGCAATGTTATTCATAATTTGTTATGATCCACACAATTGAATGCCTTTGTGTACTCTACAAAACACAGGTAAACATCTTTCTGGTATTTTCTGCTTTCAGGCAAGATCCATCTGACATCAGCAATGATATCCCCGTTTCACGTCCTTTTCTAAATCTGGCTTGAATTTCTGGCAGTTCTCTGTTGATATATTGCTGCAGCCGTTTTTGAATTACCTTCAGCAAAATGTTACTTGTGCGAGAACCAAAATACGACCTTGACTATCCCACCTGAATTTGGAGACCATCTCAAGAATAGATTCGATGTGTTGAACACTAGACGAGTTGTGGGGTAACATCAAGGACATCACATATAAAGAAGGCAAAAGGTCATTAAACAGACAAGAAAGAAAGAAAGGACCAAAATGGATGTCAGAAGAGACTCTGAAACTTGCTCTTATATGTACAGTAGCTAAAGCAAACAGAAGAAATGATGAAGTAAAAGA